TGAGAATGAGGGAACTGAAAACCAGAGAGGTCCTGGGATCCTCCCAATGCTGCACAGCCACGTAGCAGGGCAGTTAGGATGGGGATGCGGGTTTGTGCTCAGACCCCGGCAGGGCGCCCCCTAGCGGGTCCTCTTACCTCTTGACTGCCCGTGGGAAGGTGTACAGAAGGTCTGTCATTGTGGGTGATGGCTGTTATCCCTGTTATTCATGATTATCATACTATTATAATTAATGATATTGATGAATAGTAATTCTGTTGGTCTCTCCAACGGAGAGAAATATGTCAGACAGAGAATTCCAGTACTGCACGATCTCATTTAATGTGGTTCTAAAATCAAGCATAGGGCGCCGGGCGGCTCGGTTGGTTAAGTGACTGCCTTCGGCTCAGGTCATGATCCTGGAGTCCCGGGATCGAGTCCTGCATCGGGGCCACCTGCTCAGTGGGGAGCCTGCTTCTCCCTATGACCTTCCCCCATCTCATGCTCTATCTCATGCTCTCTCTCAAATAAATAAAATATTAAAAAAATAAATAAAATCATCAAGCATAGAGAAAAGAAATGAGTTTTGTAGTCCCCGGATTTAGGGGGTGAGGGAGGAGGCTCTGGGCAAAAGTGGTCAAAAGTACCAACTTCCATTTATATAAGAAATATGTGCTGGAGATGTAATGTACAGCATGATTAAAACAAGATTTTAAAACGAAAAAAGTAAACAGGGAGGAAGGAAGGAAGGAAGGAAAGAAGGAAGGAAGGGAGGGAGGGAGGGAGGGAGGGAGGGAGGGAGGAAGGGAGGGAGGGAAGGAGGGAGGGAGAGATGAAGGAAGGTGCAAAAAATGCCCTCTGGGAGCTGGTTGGGGCTTCTGCCAGGAAGAGCGGAGGGCCCCCGATGGGGGTGTTGAGGGATGGGCTGGGCTCTGCCTGGGCTGGGCTCTGCCCCGGAATTCCAAGGCTTTGCACTGTGTCCTGGCCTGCAGGGCTGTGACAAACAGTTCTTCAACGCTTCGCTGCAGTTCGAAAACATGGACCATCTGCTGGACTTCATCAACAGTAATACATCCAAGCTCGGCATCACTGTGGAGTACGCCACGCTGGCCGAATACTTCGGTGCCTTGCACGCTGCCAATGTCACCTGGCACGTCCGCGATCACCAAGACTTCCTGCCCTATTCCTCAGGTATGAGCCCATGCAGGTTGGGGGGCAGCTCTGGTACCACGGAGGGCGCCCACCTAGCGTCTGCTCTGCCCTCTGAGGAGCTTGTGAGGGTCACTGGGGCCGAGATTGGCCATGCCCCCCACTGCCCCCCGTACTCTGTCCCACTAGACATCCTAGGATTGACGGAACACTCACAGAATGGCTCTGTAGCTTCCTATTTCCACATCCAGAAGGCCTTGGCTGCCTTCATGTGGGAAGGCAACAAGGCTATGAGCTTGGTTATAGTCCGGGGGGAGGGGAAAATTGATGTGGGTGGGGTTACAGGTGACGTTCAAAGACTCATCTGTGTGGGCGTGGTTACAGCCCAGGTGGAGATGGATA